TCTCAGCTTGCTTTTCAGTCAAGTCATATGTCACTGAGTGCACATCTCTGCCTCCCAAAGCCATTGCCTTCACTCTGCCTCTGAAAAAAGCAGTTGCCTTGTCTGTTCATTGCCTGCTTAGCTGGGGGAAGGAAAAGATGAGCCAGTTAGGTACTGGCATGAGGTCTTACCATAAATCCACTTGTTTCTTTTTTACAGTAGACATTTAAGCACATGTGCTTATTTTGATTGTTAAAACAACCTTCTTTTTATATTCCTATTTCTTAAATGGCATCACAGAATTATGATGCATTTTATGCATGCAGGCATTGTCCTTGCTTGGAGAGCTTGAAACATAAAAAGAAAGCAAGTCAAAGCAAATAAACACAAGGTAAAGTAGAGGACAGCAGTACAGGAGAGAGGAGAAAAGAGAATTGGTTGTTTAGCAGGATAAGATTTAGAATGAATTTGAAGACAACCCAGAGAATGACGATAGGATAATTATTCAATTGCAGGGACCCACATAGACTGGAAAAATAATGAAGGAAAACAATAAAGCAAAATGAGTATGGAGAGCAGAGAAATCAGGAGGAATTGAAAATGAAACAGCTGTAGGCAGTTTCAAATGTACTTAGATTTAAGGACCATTTAACACAACTTGGTATTTAGGCTGTGAAGGAACGATGTGAACACTGGTCTGATGGAGTTTAGGAGCCGGTCATGGCAGCAGCAACCTTCCAAACTTAACGCTGGACACAAATAATGGAATGGAGCAACTACTGAAACTGTTTGGGCCATTTGGGGAAGTGCTGGCTGAGTGCACTGTGAGGCCAGACTGCAGTGCCTGCCCACTTGGTTTTAGCCAGTGAGGCCATGGACATGCTGCATTTTTCCCTGTGCCTCAGTTCCCCAGCTGCTTCCTTAACCCAGTGTCATTGAGGAAAACACTGTGTTGGAGGGGTACAAATATCACAGATTCATCATAGAATCATCAAATTTGAAAGAGACCTTTAAGATTATACAGTCGAACTGTCAACCCAGTACTGCCTCTGTAACCCCTAAATCACTAAACCTTATCACCCAGAGCCAGATCCAGATGCCTATTAAACACTTTCTGGGATGGCAACACCATTACTGCCCTGGGCAATCTATTCCAGTGACAATTTTTTTTCTAATATCTAATCTGAATCTCCCTTGTCTCAGTTTAAGGACATTTCCTCTAGTCCTCTCACTGCAGGCACGGTAGAAGCGACCAGTCCCACCTCACTACAGCCTCCTTTCAGGCAGCTGTAGAGAGATATGAGTTCCCCCTTGAGCCTCTTCTTGAAACTAAATAAGCCCAGCTCCCTCAGCCACTCCTCATAAGACATGTTTTCTAGACCTTTCATGAGTCTTGTTGCCCTTTGCTGGACACACTCCAGTATCTCAATGTCCTTTTTAAAGTGAGGCGTCCAGAACTGAGCACAGTGCTTGAGGTGTGGCCTCACCAGTGCTGAGTACAGGGGATGATCACTGCCCTAGACCTGCTGGCCACACTATTCTTGATACAGGCCAAGATGCCATTAGGCTTCTTGGCTACCTGGGCACACTGCTCTCTCATATGGAGCCCACTCCTCACTCAGCCTGTAGCTCTGTGTGGGATTACTGTGACCCAAGTGCAGGATCTGGCACTTGGCCTTATTGAATCTCATGCATCGGTACTTAGCCCATTGATTGAATCCATCCAGGTCTCTCTGTAGAGCCTTCCTACCCTCAAGCAGATCAAAATTACCACCCAGCTTAGTGTCACCTGCAAGTTTACTGGGGGTACACTCAATCCCCACACCCAGATCAGCAATAAAGATGTTAAACAGGACCAGCCCCAAATACCCACATGAACAGATACATTCATGCATGAGAGTCACATAACCGTATATTGCACAGGAGCAGGTAGGACATATTCTCGTGTACAGTCCTAATTCTGTGATGCCAGTTCTGCACAGCCAGGCTGATAGTAGGTAGGTTTATTGGCATAGTTACAAATACCAAGGTCACAGTCTAGATTTGCTGCACTTCTCTCTGATAGTTTCTGTTTAATTTGATGGGAGTTTGTTACCACTAATGACAGACATCTTAAAAAAGAGAATTATATTTTTAAAAGCACTGAGGAAAGAAAAGGCTCTGAGCACTTGTACTACATGTTTGGTAAGAGGTGGAAGCTGTGGGGAGTGCTGTAATTCAGGGGTCCTCATAGGTCTGGTTTGGATCACTTTTAAAACTGTGTTCTTTTTCGGCACTTCACTTTTAGGTGTTCACAAGCATTAGGACATTGTAGATTTTCATTGTAGATCAGGATGGAAAAAGTTATTTTTTAAAGAAGGAGCAGTTGAAGCTGTACACTACCTTGGCTTTATTGCAGCTTTTCTTATGGCCTCACATGACATTCCTACAAGCAAACTCAAGAAATATGTCAACTTCTGCTGAACTACAAGGTGAATACAAAATGGCTGAAAAATTCTGCTTAGAGCAATTTAAAATTTTATAGAATGCCGAGAAATACAGAACATTTATCGTCCTGAAAAGGTTGTTATGCAGCCAGTTTTATTAATCAATAACCTTGTGTTAGAAGTAAGAGAATGATTAGAGAAGATGCAGTTCCATTATTTATGGGGAACTAAGCAACTAATGGACAAAATAGGGGGAAGACTGAAATATTCATTGCTTTTCTGTTGAAAAAAACCCACATAGCTTTGACCACAAATTATTGACGAGGAAAAAAAAAAAAGCTCGGGACAGTGAAGAAGGAAATAGTGGATTAAAAATATATTTATACAATTAGAGTTATCGAAACAAATTATTAATAATTTCAAGCCCTTAGGTTTGTAAGAAGGAAAGCAGTGTAACAAAATGGAGTGAAGGATCCTCCAGCTGATTATTCACCAGCTTGTTATTCAGCCATGGATGCCCCAGGTACTTTGAGCCCTCCTTTCTGTGCAGGCCCAGACCTAATTTCCAGTCTTGTGTTCCTTAGGAACCACTCTGAGAACTGCAGTACTCCTGGCTTCCCCCTCAAATGCTGGCATGCCTACAGGCTCAGGAGATTTGCAGGATGCCTGAGCAAACCAGTTTTACACAATATTTCTAGGTCTCCTAGTTTTATTTAGACGTCCGTCCACAAGAGGTCCCACCCCATCACCAAAACGCCAGGAGACTTTCGCTGATGGGAGCCGGGAAGGGCTCATTGACACTTAGTACCCAGAGGGCAAATGTGTCACTTTTAGTCCTCCCCAGTGAGGAGGTGACTTCTGGCCAAAATCACCTTCTCTTTGCTCTCCAGAGTAGGAGCTGGTTTATTTCGCATGGTGATTACATTTCAGTGGGAGAGCACTTAAGCTAATTGCTAAGCATTGTTAGTTCTGTGTCAACATTCCTCTGAAGCTTTAGTTCAAAGGCCTATGTTGCAATCAAAATACTTTGCTGTTTGACATAGATATACCTGGAGTTCATCAGCTGGAAGAGAATGACTGCATTGTGTGCACAGATATTGTCAAGGGAGCAGGCAACCAAGAGTAAAAGCCAAGGGTGAGATTTCCTATTTAGGTTCCTGAGGATGAATAACTGAAAAGCCCTTTTCCTTCAGCTGATGCCATACCAAAAGGCCATCCACAATCTATCTTCTCATCACCAAAATTTACTTTATTGCTCAATTTCACGTCTTGATAAAAGCAGTGGAGATGCTTATATCCAGTTCACTTGTTCAGCTTGATAAGCCATACAGAAGCAGTGAACTTCAGTCTGTTTCATTTAATGGAGTTGCCAGTCTATTATAAAAGCAAAATATCTTCAAAACCAAGTCTTATTGCTATTTACAACACATGCTGTGGCTTTTTACTGTGAAATATTGTGACACCTATCAATAAAGGTTAGAGCAGACAATTTCTTGGGAAAGTGTGTGACGTGTGAAATTCACAGAGGGGGTATGGGTATAGTAGTGGCTTTCTGCAGAGACAGTAGTCCATGAATCTTTGTAGAGAAGACAATGAGAAAATAATGAAAAGCATGTGTTTTTCTGATTTTTCCCTCCTCTATTCAAATACAAAAGATTAATTGTGGTGGGCTTTTTTTTTTTTCCTAAAATATAGCTTTCATGTAGACTGTGTCTTGCAAGTGTATTTGGTAGGTTGAGTACATGTGTTTTTATACACGTATGCTTCAGCATACATCACATCTTTTGTTGTTGAATCCCTCTTCCACTCAGGTAAAATCTGAAGTGCTTTCCAAACTTTCAAAGAGATTAGGGAACCTTTTTGCTGGCATGTGTAATTGCTTTGCCCATTTTTACAGGGAATCTGTTTAGCATGCAGCTATTCTGCATAGTAGTTTAGAACAGTAGAGCCAAATGAAATTGTGGTGGGAGTTTTCAGCAGACAGGCTATAATTATTCAGTTTGGAATTTGACCAGGGTGAAATAGAAGCCTGCCTACCAATAAACATACTTGAAGTAACATGTTTTTGAAGTTTTTAAACAAAGAAGCTTGTATGAATGGTGAAAGTGCAAGATGGGAGTCAGAAAATCCGTGCTGCTGTGACATACATTTAGCAGCTATACTGGGAATTATTTAAGCTCTCTTTCACCCCCTTTTGTTCCATCAAAAAGGAGCAATAGTGTGTGGCCTTACCACCACTTGTTCTCTTCATTTTTACCCTGTATTACCTTAGGAATGATGATGGGGTTGGCAGGAGTACCTTTTAGCTTTTTTGTTTGGTGCTCACTGGGTTCTCACCTGTGACTCCAGAGTGGCCTCGCCTGTGCAGAGCCAAAGTCATTACTGTGGTAAGGACAATTGTGTGAGTGTTTGTCTGGAGTGACTCCACCCTGTAGAATTGCCTATAATTTCAGCAATTATTTCATTTTCAAAATAGGATTGCCATTATTTTTATATTTCAACAGAATATTTTCCCATGGCAGGTTAGTCTATAGTGGCTGTGAGCTGCTTTATGTAGACACTCTTGTTGCTTAAGACTTTTTTATTGTCCAGCAGATCTGCTTGTAAACCCCTGGGAAGAATAAACTTCTGTAAGGGAGCAAATGATGAAACAGCAATCCAAAGAAATGTTTCAGCTATGAAACAACCATGTGAAGGTGAGGTTTTGTTCTCATGTTGAAGTTTTCCCCATAATTTTCGTACCATTATGCTTCACATAATTTTTGAAACTTCCAAATTTTGATGTCCACTAATTTGTCCATTAGTTTTGGCTTATGCAGGTAGAGAGCTTAGCAGTGCACAGGATGAAACAGTGCACATGTTTATACTTGTAGTGAGGCAGGGCAGAAGTGACAAAAGATTGATTTCCTCAGAGCTGACCTCAATTATTGGCCTGCTGCAAGGGATATGCTAGGGCTAATTTTGCCGTAAGTGTCATGGCATGTGAAGGTGGCAATATGGGATGGATGAAGTGACGTCATGATACGCAGTGTTGAATTACTAATGGCAAGATATGAAAGAATGAAGAATGTGTAGAGACAAACGCTGAAACTGCTCAGACTCATCTTCTGAATATGCTTCAAAAAAACTCTGAGATTCAGTAAAGGTGAAGCACTTGAAACTATACTCAGCATAATTAAAATTTTGTGACAAAACCCAAATGCTTTTCTAAACCATGGGTATTTGCAAACCTTACCAAGTTAAAAGGTTATTTCTTCTTCGAAGATTGGATCTTTGCTGATGTCATTCTCAGTCACAAATCTCTCAAGACACAGGCTCAGGAGATCTCAAGACACAGAGAGCAACTCTCCATTGTGCTGCAGTAAGGAATGGCACAGCAGCTCTCTCTGATTCTACCTCTAAAGTGATGGGATTTTTTTAGAATGACCTAGAGAAAAGCATAAATTCCCACCATGGACTCTATGTGAATAAGTCAAAAGCATTCCTGACTAGATGGAGCAGATTTATAACTTTCGTGAAGCAGAATGAGCTTGTGATGTTGGAGTCACACAGCTAAATACACACTTAAATTCCTGTAGTCACCCTGAGAACAAACCACACAGGCTTTCACACACAAAAGACCCTAGACATATAACCTTTTCCCCTTGAACTGCTTCATTTTTTCCTACTATTTCACAAACTAGATATGTTTTCTTTCAGAACAAAGTATGTTATGAATTTATCACTCAACTCAGCACACTATCATTCTTGTGTTGCTTTCAACCTAGTACTTCTGCTTTTTTTCTAATGGGATGTTTTGTAGAGTTGGATTCTGGTCTTGGTTACTCTGGTAGACTTTCAAAGGCATGTCACTGGCTGCAACGTGGCTTCACAGATAATCAGGCAGCATTGTGCTTCTAAATTTTAAATTTGACCACTCAATTCTATCATCTAAAGAAACTACATAGTTCACATTTGCTGTCCAAGTGGTGACAACAGTAACTCCCTGAAGTATTGGCTAAGGAAAGACTGGGCTTCACATGTTTGAGCACTAATTTACATTGCCACATATCCCACCGTCCTCCTGGAGTGCATGACAGTGGCTAGCCACCCTGTCCAGTTTTAAAGCTTTTCAAGATCTGTATTGCTGGTATTAATTCTGTTTATATTTACAGCACAACTGAGTCTCCTATTTGCTTAAAGCAGTAAGAAAGTGATAGACTATCTGTTACAAAGAAACACACAGGACAAAGAACTCATCTGCTGGTTGAAATATTTCAATCATAAAAAGTGCTGCTAATTAATTAGGCAATAAATACATTATTTGAGAATACTTATGAAGACTTGTTTATGGCCAAAGATAATAAGAGAATAATATTTCCTTACTAGATGAGGAACTCGTGTTTAAGTACAGCAGGTATTTACACTGTTTCCT